CTTTGCTTTTACATGCAAGTGCAATTCATTTTGCTTACTCCTGCCCTTTGAACACAATTAGGTGCTTCCCACTTAAAGTGAGAAAATGAAGTTTTAATAACTACCTCGCCAAGAAAATCTAGGTCAACAAAGGACCTTTAAGCTACCGTAAGCTTCGTGTCTTCCCTCAAAAACTTGTTGCTTTCAGTTACAAGAGAAAATACATCTGGAAAACTGATTTCTGACCACTGGCTTAGGATCACATTGTCATGGCTGGATCACAATTTTCATTACCTGTAAGTTTTACATTCTTCCCCTTGTCATTGACTAGCTTCACACCTTTCCTCTCAACCAGATCTCTAAATAGCATGTAAGAGATAAGAAGTGTTATTTTCCAGCAATACCATCCTATACCTAACATGCCTGCTTATTCAAGGATTCCTTTTTGTTTCCTGAAGGTAAGACACTGAGATTGCTTACTTTTATGCTACTAACTTTCCAACTTGTACTTAAATAATATGGTCAATATTTCATGCAGCTAAAGCTTTGTACCCAGCACAATAAACAAACTTTTTAGCATGGGCTGAAAAGCATATGGTAAGGCCACTTCTATACTAGAGTTAGTAAAAAAAAAGCCTTAACTGGTGATGTACCTCATACAATGCCCCCTTCAAATCCATTATAGTGCCTATAACCCAAAACCCCAGACCTCTGATGATGATAAACTCATGAATGGAACACTTCTTAACAGAAACCTTAGCATTGTTAGTAATGCAGAAAACCTTTTCCTACCTGTGAATTGGATGACGAAGGTAAACGTATATCCTGAGTTTAGAAGACTAACATGCACTTTTAGAAACAACATAGAAACAATATTCAAACCTATGGTTTCCTTTACCTTTCAACAAAGACAACGTGGCTTGTTTTTATTTTTAATATTCTAACTTAACAAGTGGTTTTATGCTTTTTAAGAAAGGCTTAAAAAATGCTCAAGGCCTCCACTTCTTTCAAAACAGTTAATTAATAACTTACTGAATGAACTCTACACCACGCTCATTCCAAAATGTTAGAGCATGCCACTGTACCTGGTGATCATCAGCAATACCACCACCATTTGGTAAATGGCTCTCCTAAGTGTAGGTTGTTTGGAGATTTACCATGTCAGGAAAAGTAACCTTGGAATTCTTAGTGCAATGTATTTATTTCTCCCTGCCACAGACCACCAGAGCCTTTGTGACCCAGTATTTTTCACTATGAAGTTTTAAACAACACACTGCATTGGTATCTTAAGTTAAACACAGTGACAAGAATCAGGTGACAAATTAAAAGGAAGCCAAATATTGCATGAAGTAGCAAAAGCAGCTTCAAGTGCCCTCTTGCCACAGCTGTCTGAGAGACTCTTTTGCTCCGAGTACTGTGAGGTTCTGACTTGCTCGCATGTCTTGTTATGCTTTTTTTCTGCTTTTTAGTTCTCCCCTGGTTTGTGTTATTTAACCCTCCTCTAGAAGAAGTACAAGGCTGTAACAGAATGGAAGAATTTTAAATCTGTAGTTTAAGAGAAAGAATTCATCCATGTGCAAGAAAATAACAGCCGTTCTAATAAGAAAGAACCATTAAGTGGACAAAGTAAGAATGGAAAAAGATAGCCTGAAAAGAACAAAATGCACTTAATTTTGCACATTTCCACCAGATGCCTAACTCTGAGGAGTCAGTTTAACTTCTAGCAGCTCAGTATTTCCACTGACATCAGACTTGTAACATCCCAGGGCAGCTGTTCTACACACAATTCAACAAGGAGTATGCCAAGGACACTGAATAAATACTTCAAAAAGAACTATCTAGGAACTAGAAGCTGTTCTTATTTTGAACTGTAAATAAGCTGTGTGGCCTTGCAGGTTCTTCCTAAAGCGAGTATCAACATTGTAGTTCAGGCTTTGTATAAACCCTGTTATTTTGAATCAGCAACCACCTGCGTATTAATTAAAATGAAATACCATACTAACATTAGCATAATGATAGCAGTGTGCACAGGACAAAACAGGAACTTCAATAAAATGAGCAAAGCACGACACTGCCCGATTTAATTCGCATACAGGCATGGATGTACTATAACAGCAAACTGCCCAGTAACTTTTTTGAATTCCACTGATGGCTACTTGTGATTTGAAGTGTGCTACCGATGTGCTGCAGACAGGTAAAGTTGGCTGTATCCTTCAGTTTAGTTTGCAATTTTCTCCTCACTGCTATACCTCTTCTCAACATGTTGCATCCCTATCTATTCTGCTCTGGTGAGACCCCACCTTAGTACTGGATCCAGCTCTCAGTACTCATCACAGGAAAGACATGGACCTGTTGGAGTGGGTCCAGAGGAGGGCCACAAAAATGATCTGAGGGCTGGAGCACCCCTCCCACGAGGACAGGCTGAGAGAGCTGGGGTTGTTTAGCCTGGGGAAGAGAAGGCTGCGAGAAGACCTTACTGCAGCCTTTCAGTACTTAAAGGGGCCTTATAATAAAGATGGGGACAGACTTTTTAGCAGGGCCTGTAGTAATAGGACAAGGAGTAGTGGTTTTAAACTAAAAGAAGGTAGATTCAGACTAGATATAAGGAAGAAATTTTTTACTAGGAGGGTGGTGAAACAGTGGAACAGGTTGCCCAGAGAGGTGGTAGATGTGCCATCCCTGGAAACATTCAAGGTCAGGTTGGATGGGGCTCTGAGCAACCTGATCTGGTTGAAAATGTCCCTGCTCATTGCAGGGGGGCTGGACTAGATGACCTTTAAATGTCCCTTCCAACCCAAACCATTCTATGATTCTTCCAGACCAAAAAAAAAAAGCTATGATACAGATGCCACAATGAAAAATCCCTTTATGACCAATGAAACCTTCCCTTTTTTCATTCCTCCCTCCAGAGTATTGTATGTGTCTATTTCCTCAAGCTGTAGCGAGGAACACAATGAGTTAACTGTGTTTGGAGGTTACGTACTCCTTGGAAACCCAGCTACAGTTGGTTTGGCTAAGATGTAAATAATACATTTCACTCTCTTTTTCAGAGCAGTGATCTTACCGTTTACGTAAATTAACAGATTCTACATGTTCTTCCATGCCCACATAACACTCACAGTCCTGATCAGTAATTCTACAGCAAAACCCTGCAATTTTCTCCGGACTGAAAACTGGATGTTTCAATCTGTTACTGTGTGTCTGAACAGGAGTCAGAATTACTTTTTCCACATATCACCCAAAAAACAAACCCTTATCTTTAATACAAAGGTTAACAAATTTCAAGTGTCTGAAGACAGGAAACAAAAAACCTGGAACTAGCATCATTTAAGCCTAGAAATATAAAATAAATAATCAACATAAAACCTAATTACAACGCAGAAGTATGACTGAATACAATGCTGGAAAGACAATAAAGACAAGTTAAAACGCAAAAAAATGAGTCAAACTGAGGAAAAAAAAAATTAAAGAAATCACATGCTCCCAAATCTCTATCAATTTGAGTGCATTGTGAAACACACCCATACAAGAAAACAACAAAACAAAAGGCCAGCCTGAAAAAGATTTGAGAAGAAACATAAAAGGTTAACAGCAGACAATCTGCAACAGATGAAGCTGTCACCTGGTTTAAAAACCTTCTCTGGCTTAAGAAATACAGTTATCTCCAAAAGCACTGTATAATGGGCCTGGTTTAGCACAGCATTTCAGTATGTGTTCAACAGCAAGCACATCCTGGACTGCTTCCCTGAATCAGAACTACAATGCTTAGCACCTTAAGTCATCAAGCATATATTCCATAAGCTGTATCTTTTTCCAACTCCTGTGCTGCAGAGTATGATAACTCTGAGACAGAAAGCAATTAAAAAAAACCTGAAGCAAATAAAGCTAGTCTTTATGGCACATCTGAAGTTTGAAGCAACATTTCCCCCTTCCTTGCTTTTTTTTTTTATTTTACAAATAAGACATGATTGTTTCTGTGTAACACCTCCCGCATTACCTATTACTGTTTCTAGACATCACCATTTCTCTTTCCAGGTTATGCAGATAAGTATGAGCATACTGCATAATTCTTGCTTGAATTCAGTACTGAAGCAGACAAAGACTATGCACATATTTTTAAAAGCAGGAAT